AATAAACATTGCTGAACTGAATCTGCATGGTTTCCTGGAGTTCCTTGGGCTAGGCCTGACAGCTATCTAGTTCAATATGTTTTGTTTCATTATGTTATTAATGTGTGATGTAATAGGTATGCATAATTGCTAATTCTGCTGTATGTTAGTATTTTGGTGTGAAATTACCTGGTAGATTAGTCACTTAAATTACTTGTTCCTGCATACACCACATTTGAAACAATCTCTTATGTCACTCCACCCAGAATGCTGAAGGCAGGTGATATAGAGCAAGGCCTCATTAGATAAATACAGAATTTTTCATAATGTATGTGTGATTTGTATACAACACATTCTGTGCCTGCACAGTGCCCATTGAGAACATAATAGAAGTAAGCTTTATGCTAAGAGCCCTCCATCCTTTTTCAGTGCACATGGTCAAAGACACAATTCTTGCTCCATAGTCCACCCAGTAGTTTAATTGTCACAGTAGCAGTGTGTTACTCTTATGAGCTTTTTATCTACTTTTGTCTATGATTCACTTCATTGTTCATATTACTTTAAATATATTTCCCTTCTGTAATATTTTTTCTTCTTCTTTTGCTATTTTTTTCTGGAAATAAAATATGGAGTAATTCAGTAATGAAATTCAAATCTGCAAATATGAATTTATTTAGGGTATTTCCTGTTTTCTGGCAATATCAATCCATGATGGGAAATTTTCCATGCTAAATCATGATTTGTGATGTTTTGTACGAAGCTGGTGTCTTGCCATTTAGGAAAAAATAAAATTCAGAGCATCAAAGGAAACATTTAAGAGAACTAGTGTTTTTGCACTTGACATAGTAAGCAAATGGAAGAATGGTAGTACTTTCACTTGACTGTCAGCCTGCTTCTCCTGCAGATCTTTCAGTACATATTCAGTTAATCTGTATTTCAGCATTGGTAACTCTGTTGACTGAACTTAATAGTCATCCAATCCCTCTTCCTTTACTGATTGAGTTTCCTCAGTCTCTTTCTTAGAGTAGATGCCAGGTGAGTTGGCAAGAGAACAAGAGATCAGCTGGAAAGATTTAGATTCTAGGTTCAGTATTGAGGGTGAGATCTGAGACAGTCACATCAAGATAGTGTCCCAGAGTCCATTCTGTGGGTGTTTGCCTGAGTCCCGTAAGTTACCATCTTCTGAAATGTGCTTCTCTGAATTTTCTTTTTTTCCTGAGGATGTTTATGCTAACATAGTCCATGGACATTACTGTGATTGCCCCGATGCTTTCTGTTGCTCTTAACCACTCTTTATCACACTGCTGGTTAAGGAAGTCTGTTATACTATCATAAAGCATTGTATGATGACCATTCCTTCCAGTTTTACTGATATATAATATTGTCATAAGCATTATTGTTTCTGAAAGAGGATGCTGCACCTTTTCCCTTAAGATTGCTGGAGTTCTTGATTGATTTTGTCGTTGACAAAAGATTTGTCTTTCATTTTCTTGAAAGTTTGTCCTTCATGATTTCAGCATTCTATAATCAAGATTAGATCCCACATTTCTAATTTCCTCTATTTACATGTTTTATGAGTGGATTGATTAAATGTATATGTGAGGGGGTTCTTTAGGATTGAACAGAGAAAACATAGCACACAAGATTTTCTTGTAAACCAGTTCAGATTTATTTTTTTTTATCTGTAACATTTCAAAAATAGGAAGTGTTTAGTTTCTCTTTCAGCTGTGCAAGATTTGGAGGTTAACTATTTCTTGGCCTACAATATTACTGCTTCTACTACTATGTCATGTGCCTATGTTATTGCTATGTATATAGCTATTACTACATTCCCCATAGACTTAATAAAGGGCTTTAATTGAAACTTAGCTGCAATCTCTCACAGCTAATAGAATTTTGATCTTCTTGGGTTTTTGGGTCCTCTTCTCTCTCTCTGGGCATCTGTCCTAGGTAGAGTGAGGATGTTTATGCTAACATCTTTCCTGCATGTGCCAGTCTTTGGTGATACTGAATCACCCAGGAATCTGGATCTCTTCATCAGACTGAAATTGCCTAAACCCATTTGCTCATTATTCATTTTTCCATTCTTTTGGCCCAGTAACATCTCTCCTTCTGCCAGCCCCTTAGCTCATTTCAACCTTCTCTCCCCCTTTATTAGAAAACTGGGTGTGAAAAGAACCTACCTATTTTCTACCAACTCATACCTACGATCAGATTGGTACGTGGTGTCTATTTTCTCCATTCCATCACAATATAACTTTGTTAAATCCATCCATATGTGGAGTTTTTCTGTGATTCTTTAAATATTATGGGCAAATGGATTGAATTCATGGCTGTTTGTTCTCATTTGGAACATAATATTTGGGGGCAATTGCAGTTCTGAAAAGACTAGTTTTGAGCATTTTTAATGCACAAAAATGAATTTAGCATTGCATTTTAATATCTCATTTCTACCATTCATTAAAATCATAAATTATTCTTTTGTTGTTTGTTTTCTCTAATTCTATACAACCTACATATGCAAGATTTTTATAGAGCTATGATGCTTATCTTCAGTGAACAACTTTCTTCAGGTAGTCTAATTATCTCTATTACCTGCTTCTGTTATGAACTGGTGAAACAACCATTTGTTAACAGAATTCATGGTCATTTATAAGGTTAGGTGCGGTATTTGCCAATTCCTTAAAGGTATCCACTTTCCAGAGCTGTATAGAAGGACACCTTGATTGCAGCCATTAAGCTTCATCAACCATTATTGATATTTCTCTGAGCATGCATATTGGTAAGAGAGGGAGGACTCATTTCTAACAACACTGGCAAATTATTTCAAAAGAACTAGGATCACTGTAGGGTAAAGAAGATGCAGATGAAACTCAGATTGCAAGCTATCTCTGTGCTAAATTTCAAGACTGCAGCATTCTATTTCATCTATGTTGAGTAAGTTGAGGCATGTTTAGAACACATAGCCATGTTAGTTTTGTTTATTCTGATATTGGGAAGTATGTTAAAACTATATTATGTTTTATAGGTCTCAGGAGGTGAAGATGAAATCCAACAGTTGCAGAAGGCATTGCTAGATTATTTGGAAGAAAATACGGAAACTGATGCATCATTAGTGGTAGGTTGTTAGAATAAGAGTTGTTTTAAAAGATTTTTTCCCAGTAAAAATATAGTTTTGAAATGTCATGGCAGCAGAGAGAGAGATGGGGAGCTGACTAGTGGGTAAAAGAAAACACAGGACTCTCCAAAGGGAGAGTGTGGTGTAGTTGATAAAGGTGTAGAGATCCTTATGAAGTTTATTCTCCCCAGTCCCTTGAGCATTCAGGGGCAGGGTTTGAAAACAAAAATGGAATCTGAAAACAAAAACAAACTATGACCTCAAAGCAAAACAGAATGCCTAACCAAGGAGGTAAATTGTTCTGGCAGAACAGTGTAAAGCTTGCTCTTCTGCTCTCTCACTAATGGTCTCAATAAACCTTCCAGGCTCAGCTGACCTTAACTTGTGTAGTCTCTGGCTCTCTTTCTTCCCTCCTGAGGAAGACTTTCTAGCTTGAAGTATCAGCTCTCTTCTCTGCATGGTTAATGAATTGAGTCAAGGCCAGGCAGTGAAAAAGAGTGGGGAAATTTCTTTGTACAGGCCTAATAAGAATAATCCAGCAGGTGCTTTCTCTGTAAGTTTCTTTTTAAGGTATAGATGTTCTTCTCCAACCCCCATACCTGCTCCTTCATCAGCACAGCCTTTGTGTATGCAACAGGCATTGAGTCTGAAGGCACTTATGTTCTGTTGTGGTTTACTTAAAAGGAAGCTGGTGTTTTCCTTTCACATTGCACCCTACTCAGGCCTCAGATAGCCCATGATGGGCTTCTGGGGTTCTGAGTCTATTGTGGAGTAGGGAAGCACCAGCCGTGCTTGTTTCTTAATTATCCTGATTATTCCACAGTCATAAAATACCATTCAGTTATACAGCTGCATACTTTTTAAGCTAATTCAAAATAACTCAGAAGTTTACGATTGCAAACATCTGATTATATTACTTTGAGCAATATAATCAAGATTTTGGGATTTGTTCTGTTTTTATAGCATAATAAAGAGGTTCTGCTGATACTTCAGTAAATTGTATGTATTTATATTTTTGTTCCAATTCAGTGATATGAATTATAGGAATCTACCTGATTTCCAGTGATCCACTTGTCCATTTCATGCAATATTTTTACAGCAGCCTTTCCCAATATAGATTTTTCAGATAATTGAGACTGTAATTGCCATCTTTCCTCACCACTGGCTATGCTGGTTGGGGCTGATTAAAGGTGGTCCAAAACATCTGGATGAAAGGGGTTAACGCAGATATCTACATTAACTGGTAGCAGCTCTCTTGAATTATATTATTTTTAAAAAAATTGTTAGTAATTATTAAGGGAATTCATAGCCCAGCTTTCTTTTCCCATAACATAATACTCAAGGTGGCTTACATCAGTTAAATATACATACATGCATGTATGTATGTATGTGTATACACACACGTGTTTAATCTAAAAATAGTTGAACAAGAAATAATATTGAAAACATTTTTTAACTGAACAGCCTCTGACTTTTCTTTCTCTTTGTAATTATTTTTCCATTCATGGTGCTATTATACCAGTTTTCTCGGAAATTTTATATAGCTCAGTGGTTTCGGGACACCACTATGGAGACTGAAAAAGCAATGAAATCTCAGAAGGATGAAGATTCATCTGAAGGAACTCACCATTCAAAAGAGGTTGAGACAACAGGACAAATTATGCACCGAGCAGAAAGTCGCAAAAAATTTCTTCGCAACATCATTAAAACAGCACCATCTCAGTTCAGTACATTAAAGTGAGTTTTCCAGACTGTTCAACAAAAACAGTTTTATTTATTTATTTTAAGGCTTTATTTGGCTTTCTTGTGTTGGTGTATTCTTTTCTTAAAGGCTAAAGTAACTATCTGCAACTTTGTTACAGGATGAATTCTGATACTGTGGACTATGAAGATGCTTGCTTGGTTGTACGCTATTTGGCCTCTATGAGGCCGTTTGCCCAGAGCTTCGATATTTATTTGACACAGGTAAACTGTGCCAGAAGTCTTAATGAAATGCAGTTTGTTTCCTGATTCCAAGCACTTATGCGGTAGTGTGCAATATCTGTTCATTGTTGAGCGCAGGTATTTAATAGGTTGTGATAACATCACGTTTCCATAATTCTTTTATCAGTTACATGAACATTTTTATTTATCCTGCATGCATTTCACACCTCCCTAAAATGTAATTCATTTTATACATGAGATAATTAAATTGAATCATTGTCTTAAAACGATAAAGGAAGGATAACACCTTTTCATGAACTTCACCTTTATTGATTTGCATTCATTATTAGGGATGTAATTTAAGCTATGTATTGTTTGCTGTTGTATAGTACTGTCATAAGTATAACCCTAATTTAACAAAGTGATTATGCATATTTCTTAGGAATATGAGTATAATGAATTACCAGACAGAGATAATCAGCATTTTTTTCAATCTGTTTGTTTGAATTCTGGGCATTGAATTGAAAACAAGTGAACAAAAAATAACTGAATCAAAAGGGGAAAATACAGTATAGTTGAGGCCAACCATAATCATTCTCTAAACCTTTACCGAATAGGCTTATCTAACCTTTCTTCAACACCCAGAGGAAGAGTCAGGTTTTCAAAGTTTAGTGAAAGGCCACCAGGATTGCAACCACCTTGGGGGTATGCTATTCCATAGGGCAGGTGCCACAACAGAGAAGGCATGCCTCCTGAGTCCCATCACATGGCATTGCTTCATAGCAAGGATCCACAGCATGCCAACCCTTTGGATCTTGTGGAACAGGTGAAGATAATTGAAGCTAGGTGGTCCTGTAAATAACCCAATCCTGTGCCAAGAAGAGCTTCATAAGTGGTAAACAACCTCTTGAATTGCACCTGGGAGCCTACTGGAAGCCAATGCAGCTTACAAAGTAGTGATATACTGTGGAGTGTCCATAACTACCTGTGCTGCTACATTCTGGACAAATTGTGACTTCTGAGTGATCTTCAAGGGCAGCCTTATATAGAGCGAATTGCAGTACTTCAAATGTGAGTAGACCAAGGCATGAGTGAGCAGGGCCTCCCATTCCAAGAACGGGTGCAGTTGGCAGATAAGATGGATTTGTGCCAAGGCCTTTCTGGCTGCAGCTGCCATTTGCTAAAGAACAGGAGCCAAGAGTCCCTCAAATTGTTTATCTTTTCTTTCTGGGGGACTGCTGCCCCATCCAGATTTAATGATGGAAGGTTGCCACATCTGGTGGGGAGGGCTGAGACCCACAGCAACTCAGTCTTGCTAGGGTTAAGCCTAAGCCTATTCTTCCCCAACCAGACCCCTGTAGCCTCCAGATGCTGGGAAAAAATCTTGAAGGCATCACTTCATTGGCCACGGGTGGAGAAGCATAATTATGTATCATCTTTATATTGATAATACTTATATCATGCCAATGGATGACTATGCCCAGCAGCTTCATGTAGATGTTAAATAGAAGTGGGAAGACTCCAGCCCTGAGCAACTCTTCAGAGCAGCGGTTTTGGGCTAGCTCTCTCCTCCCCAACACATATTGGAATCTGGATGAAGAAAGGGAACTACTGCAGTACTGGGGTTCCCACTGGAGGAAGGAGGAGACTTACTGCAGTATTTCCAGCCCCTTAGCTGGTCAAGAAGGACCATTGTGAGCTCAAGGAGAGCCAGGATGGATGCACCACTTCATCCCATCTTGCCAGAGATTTTCAACAAATCAGTGGCTCAGTACTACAGCCTGGTGTGAAATGTAACTGGAAACTGTCCAAATAGTAATGGAGTACTGCTATTAGCATCAATTCATTTTATAGGAAAGACCCTCTACAAATCCACTTGCTTAGTCAGGTACCCCAATTCTAACCAAATACCCTGGGCTAGATCTCCTTTATAACTAGTATCAAAGATATGCTCATCTTTGATACTAGTAGCCAAGACCCCTGCAGCCAGCTCCAATCTACTGAAGCAGCTGTCTATAAGATAAGAGCCAGTTTCTCTTGCTTCTTCCTTAAGGTACAACCTTAGTTGTACCTGTCCCATTTTAGGATATACGTTTAGAATGCCATGCAGACTTCTAATCCCAGAATTAGTTTAAAGCAGATAGAAGATGGACTTCAGAACAGATAAAAGCATGTCATTGCTGCTTATTACAAAGCTCAGAAAATGTAATCCCACCCCCCTTTCAAATTCTCAGTGTTTGCCTAAGGACTCAGGAAGAAAGGATCACCTATCACAAATAATGCCCTAGTCATTGAATTCTGCAGTTTGTGGATCTTAGCCTGCAGAGATTTCATAAAGAATAAATGGGGTGGCACAGTTCATAGAATCATAGGGTTGGAAGGGTTCTTGGAGGTCATCTGGTCCAACCCCCTGCCCAGTTGAGGAATCCTCAGACCATCCCAGACAAATGACTGTCCAATCTTTTCTTGAAAACGTCCAGGGTGGAGCATCCACTACTTCAGGAGGCAGGCTGTTCCACTGCTAAATAGCTCTCACAGTCAGGAAATTTCTCCTTATTCCAAGTCTGGATCTCTCTCCGTTAAGCTTCCACCATTGGTTCTTGTCTTACCTTGGGTGCTATGGAAAATAAATCTACACTGTCTGATCTGTGACATCCCTTCATGTATGAGAAGACTGCTATCATGTCTCCCCTTAGCTTGCTCTTCTTTAAGCTAAACATATTAAGTTCCTTTAACCACTCTTTGTAGAATTCAGCATTCCTTATGATCTGTGTTGCTCTTTACTGCACTCCATCAGGTTCCTCATCATCCTTTTTGTATTGTGGTAGCCACGACTGGACACAGTATTCCAGATGAGATTTGACCAGTGCAGCATAGAGTGGTATTATCACTTCCCATGATCTTGACATTTCACTTCTGTTGATGCACCCCCAAACTACATTGTTTCTTTTGGCAGTTTTGGCACATTGTTGGCTTGTGTGTAATCTGTGGTCTACCAAGACTTCCAGACTCTTCTCACAAGTACTACTGCTAAACCAAGTACCATCTATCTTGAACCTGTGCATCTGGTTTTTCCTACCTAAATGCAGAACCTTACATTTCTCCCCATTGAACTACATTTTCTTGGATAGGGCTCAATGATTATCAAGATCCTTTTGAATCTTGAGCCTTTCTTCTGGAGGGTTAGCAGTCCCCACTCCCCACCCCAAGCTTTGTATCATATGTAGATTTTATGAACAGCCTTTCTGTTCCCTTACCTAAGTCATTTATGAAGATGTTGAAGAGTACTGGGCCCTGGACAGAACACTGAGGTACTCCACTCCATGTGGACATAGACCCATTAAGGATCATGCGTTGGCTATGGTTGTTCAGCCAACTGTGCATCTAACTGATGGTGGGACCATCCATCTCACATTTATCAAGAAGGAGTCTGTGGTCTACTTTATTAAATGCCTTACTAAAGTTTAAGTACACTACACCCACAGTATTTCCTTGGTCTAGTAATCTAGTCACATTGTCAAAGAAATTCCAACCCTCTACAAGAAAGCTATAAGATTTGTCTGGCACCTGTTTTGAACAAATCCATTCTGGCTTCTGGTAATAACCCTGTTAGTTTCTAAGTGCTTACAAGCCCATTCCTTGACTATCTTTTCTAGGATTTTGCCAGGTATTGATGTCAAGCTGTTGTTATAATGCATAGAATATTCCCTTTGTAAGGTTATGATAAATTACTAAATAGCTACTTTTCATTTTGCTTTAATTCTGGCATGTTTCCACTGCATTTTTTGTTGTTTTTAGAAAGTAACAGGCAGTGTTTAAAAATCTTTAATGTTTCTTAATAGATTCTGCGTGTGCTTGGTGAAAATGCAATAGCTGTTCGAACAAAAGCCATGAAGTGTTTGTCTGAAGTTGTTGCTGTAGACCCCAGCATTCTAGCCAGGGTAAAAAAACCCAGAGACTATCTCTAACCATACATTTGTTCTTTTATTCTCTCTAGCAGCTCTTCTGGTTTTGTTTATGTGCCTTTTTATTTTACCTGTTGTTTATAGCTGGATATGCAACGAGGTGTTCATGGACGGTTAATGGACAATTCCACTAGTGTACGAGAAGCAGCTGTGGAGTTACTTGGTCGGTTTGTGCTTTGTCGACCACAGCTTGCTGAACAGTATTATGACATGCTGATTGAGCGAATACTGGTATGAGTAGTTTTACATATTTCTTTATACAGTATTATGAATTATAATATGTATGAAAATTTATAGGCTGAAATTTGAAATACAGTTATAGTTTCTGTTAATCCAGGCGTCTACCCTAATCTACATTAGGGTAGATTAGGAGAATTTTGTCATTTGCAGAAATTTTAAATAAATAAATGTTCATTGTACGGTACAGTTATAATGTATCAGAGCTCACATTGGTTGCTATTAAAAGTTTTTGTATCTATTTTAATTTTTTTAAGTTAATAGCATACAGTTTTGTAAATTATAGAAATTATAATTTATGTTTTCTTTTTTTCTCTTAGGATACTGGTATTAGTGTCAGAAAAAGAGTAATAAAGATTCTTAGAGATATCTGCATTGAACAACCAACCTTTCCCAAAATTACAGAAATGTGTGTGAAAATGATTCGCAGAGTCAATGATGAAGAAGGCATTAAGGTATAAGAAATTGCAGCATGTACTGCTTCTGTGATAGCTTGCTTAATTTCACTTTTTCTTGACTTCTCTGTTCCCATTAAATTGAGATGAGCCCCTGTGAGTAATGTTGTTAGGATTCTGCTTATTGAAATCTATACATTCTTCTGTTTAAGATTTAGCAAGTTAATTTCTTAATTAGATATATTTTTGTTTACAGAAATTGGTAAATGAGACATTCCAGAAGTTATGGTTTACTCCAACCCCCCATAATGACAGAGAAGCAATGACCAGAAAAATCCTGAACATCACAGATGTGGTATGAATGGAACTATTTCAGTTGCAATAAACATTGTGTCTAATGTGTTCACAAAGACATTTTCCTAGTATTTCTTTTTCATTTTTTAAGGCTAAGAGTTCTTCCCTGGTGTCACTCAAACAAATTCAATGCAGGTAGTCCTTGACTTACAACAGCAATTGGGACCGGAATTTCCTTTGCTAAGTTATGCAGTCATAAAGTGTGACTGCTTCACTTAGCAATAGCAATTCCTGCAATCCTGGTTGCCGTCATTAACTGAATCCCATAGTCCTTAGGCGAGACAACTTCCTGCTAGCTTCCCACAACCAAAGTCAGTGGGGTAGCTGGCAGGAAGTTGCAAGTTCCGGGCCTGCAGGGAGGTAAATGGCTGCTGCCGGGTGGGGAAGGGAATGATGGGGGTGCAGGGGAGGGTGTGTGAGGATGTGGGGGATGGTTGGGGAGGTTGCGAGGGGTGCGTGAAAGATGTGTGGGTCAGGGAGGGTTGAGGGGATGCGCAAGAGGTGCCACATGGGTCAGGGAGGGTCGAGGGGCCACACAAGAGGCACGCAGGGGTCAGGGAGGGTGCAAGGGGGTACACAAGAGGTGCTGTATGTGTTTGGGAAGGTGTGTGGGAGTGCAGCACAGGTTGGGGAGGATGAGCAGGGGTGTGAGGGGGTGCACGGGTGTGAGGAAGGCGAGGGCTGGGGAGGGTGTGCAGGGGTGCATGAGTGGCCAGTGCGGTGCTAGCACAGAGGGGCTGGGGTGTGGGTGGGGGAGACTTACCCAGTGACTTGCAACCTTCCCTGGTGGCTTCCCCATTGATTTTCTGGGGAAGCTGCCAGGGAAGGTTGCAAATGTGACCACGTAATCACAGGGCACTTGGCAACAGGTTGTAAGTGCAAACAGGTTGTCAAGAACCCAGATTGCGATCATATGACTGTGGGGGTGTTGTGACAGCTGGAACTCTGAGGACTGGTCATAACCACCATTCATTCAGCATCATTGTAACTTCGAATGGTTTCTGAAGAGTCGTAGGTCAAAGACTACCTGTAGTACAAATATTTCATCTCTCTGGTGGGGTCCTTGTAGGAGCCCCAAAAATTGTTGTACTACCACATGTGCTAAGTTAAAGTTGGTTAATTAATTAGAGAAGGGCAGAGATGAACTGCAACTCCCATCAGCTCTAATTAGCATGGCAAAGAGCAAAGTATGATGAAAACTACAGTCTGCCAACATCTGGAGAGCTACACATTATGCACTGCTGTTTTAAACATTGGTTAGGGACATATACAGTATTCTACTAAGCTGTACTGTTGATTTTGTTTTTGTGTAGTATGTGACTCCCAACCACTGTGTTTGTAAGCCATGGTTTAAGACTTTGTGTTATGTGTTGTGTTGCCTAAGAAACTATAGTTAGACCATGGTTTAGCACAATATGTGAATCCAATCTTTGTGGCTAATGACCTTTTTTCAGCTTTTCGACAAATACCAAATATTTTAAAGGTGTTGGTTTTTATTGGCTAGATTAATGTGACATAGAATTTAGGTTTCCCAATAGGAAAGAAGTCTCTGTTCATAAATCTTACAGCATATTATTTGGATTTTAAAAAATTAATGAGAAAAAATGGAACAATAGCATAATATGGTAGAAGAAAATTGTGTAACTGCATTATATAAAGCTACCAGGTTTGGCTAAGATCCTAATTTAATGATTCTAGAAAACAGTTCCTTTTACTCTGGAGTCCTTTGACTATCACTAGGAGTAAACAGATGTCTATAGCTTTTTTCCTGTATGATGGTATTGACTGTACATAATTGTATGAAAGTTCCAGACACACAAATGCTTTAGTACAGATTTAATCTGCAAATGTCAGACAAAATAGGTGCAAAAGACTTGGCTTGCTTATTTTTTTCTGGGCCAAATTGGATAAACGTAAGGATAAAGTTGGTTCTTGGGGAGATTAAGCTTTCCATTTCTAATTAATAGGTCATGGAAATACTATTCAGGAACCGTATCTCCTTCAGTGGGTTTCAAAAAAAGGATGTTCATATCTCCCAGTGTATTTCTGGTTTTACGGGTGTTATGAAAATAGTACAGTTGTGGGCCTAGCCTAAGCTTCGGGGGAGGGGGGGGACATATTTGTCCTACTGTGTATTACTTCAGCATCCTGTCTTCATAATAACAAAAATAACTACCTATGCCTCTCCCGCAGTTTTGTGGTTTTGATAGAGTATGAACAGCTTTCATAGGAATGTATGTATTTTGCAGATACTCTCTCTCTGTAGTATCATCATAAATTTTGAACTCAGAAAGTACTAATTAAAGATTAAGTTTATTCACAAATAAATTTTAAACTTATTTCTCATAGGTTGCAGCTTGTAGAGATACAGGATATGATTGGTTTGAACAGCTTCTTCAGAATGTACGTAATGATTCAGATACTTTGGACTTTGATTTCATTCAGATACCTTTTATTTTTATTTTTTTTCCCAAGCAGAATTGATGTAGCTTTTCAGTAACACAACAAATAGAAAAAGGATATTCAAATTGAGCAATACAGAGTGTACAGGTCAGTTAACAGGTTGACAAGAATTCAGGAGATTGTTCCACATGTTCCTCCATTATCAGTAAAAATAACCACCTCCTTGCTGGTTTATAGGAAAGTCAGTAAAAAAATGAAGAAAATATCTCCTCCAATGTATTGGGGGATAAATTGTTTTTTTAATTGGAAACAGTTTGGTTGCTGACATACCCCCATCCCTTGCTAAAGAGACTCTGTGAGAATCTTGCTTGGAAAATGAATTACTTTGGCTTTTAATTAAAACTCCAAAGCCTGGCACAGAGCTTCATTGATTTACATCTTCTTCATATTTCTTATTTATCAATGCTTTTTAAAAATATTGCTATTAATTCTTAATGGCTACTTTGACTAGCTTAGTTCCTCTTGTTTTCTTTACATACTTTAATAAGGGATGTATTCCAGTGCGCTTATAAATAGTTATAATGGCTTTATTGCTTGTAATAGCCCTTGTTTACTATGAAGCAGTTGCTACACATGGATAACAAGCAATGTGAGTTATTTCCCATTTTTTTAGAAAAGCATGTACTACTTGATAAATATTTACTGACATTGAAGGATCTAAACCAAAGTCAATTTATTTTATTTTATTTATTTATTTATCAAACTTCAAACTTATCCCTGCCCATCTTCCCCCAATGGGGGACTCTGGGCGGCTTACAACAGATTAAAATGATAAATAAATACATAGTTAAAATTTATAAAAAACACACACACACACATTTACACAGAGTAAAAGGAAGAGGAAAAATCCAGGAGGCTGATGGAAGCAACACCAGGCCTCTAGGTGGCTAGCCAACCCCATATCTGATGACTTCCCTCCCCACCCCAGGCCAGATGGCAGAGCCAGGTCTTCAAGTCCCTCAGAAAGGCCGGGAGTGAGGGGGCCTGCCTCACTTCTTGTCTTTATTATTTTTATAAATAACTCAAGGCAGCGAACATACCTAATCCTCCTTCCTCCTCTTATTTTCCCCA